ACGCTTATCGAATCGACAAAAAATCATTCGGTCAATTTTTTTACCAGATGTCCCAAAAATAATGAAAACAGCTGTAATTGCGCAAAAATTGTAATAAGTCACTGGTAGAAAACAAAAAAATTCGATGCGTCGAATAGCACTATTTGAATGCCATTCGACACGTCGGATTTTTTATTTTCTACAAGTAATTTCATACGTACAGTACCTAGTACGTACTTAAATATATATATATATAAGTTATAGTGCATACGTACTAATGCTAAAGGTTCATATTTTCTGTAATATTAACTGGGTCAACCGGGTCAACCGGATTATTTGAAGTGACCCGGTATTGACCTTTTAAACGGGTGATTGACCCGGAGCTTAAATTTTATACCGGGTTCAATCTCTAACTATACGTACTGTACGCGAAAAAAATTCGAGTATCATATAAATGGCACATCACTAGTTGTTCTCAAGAACCTCCCATCTGAATGATTAAAAAAAAACATAGACCGTGATAGTTATTTAAGTCAAAAAACCTTGACTTGGCAACTATCTTTTTTTTCATAGTTATTTTGATGGACTGAAATTTAAAATTCGCACTTCGTACAATAATTTTGATAAATCGTTATACAATTAATTTCAACTAATCGAAATGATTAAGCAACATCTCGAAAATGCGGATTTTAAATTTTATCCAAAGTAACTATGGAAAATTTGTCTTTCGCTTCAGGTTTTTTCAACTTAAATGACAAGCACGATCAATGTCTCAGTAATTAGTCATTTGGTAAACCCATTGGGGAGGCGTTTGAGAACGGCCTTAGCCAGTAGTAGGGGCACAGAAATTCTTCGATAACATAATCTGCGCATAAAATTGATATTTATTGTATACGTAACATATGCGATAGCATAATTGAGCAGAAACAGCATAAAATTAAGCATATTTTGCATAAAATCAAAGCATATTTTGCCATATTGGAGCAGAATCAGCAGAAATTTAGAAGCAAAACACCTGGGAGTTCCGATGTAGATAATCTCTAAACAGTCATGGTTTCCGGAAAAAAAGAATGAGGCCAAATAAAATAGCATCATTATAAGCATTTTTTTATATAAATCGCATAGAGCGAGCAGATTCTAAGGGTTGTCGCCGCAGATTTTCGGTGCTACTAGTTAGTAGGTATAAAGATATTATACAGTATTAATAGATCTATTTATAATAAAATTTGATCGTCCTGGATACCTTTCTCATAATTCAATTATCCATTATTCGACAACTATCCAATAAAGTAGTTATTTCTCATTAGGTTAATTGGTGAGTATAACGATAGGATGATTTATTAATAGAATCAAAAAATCTGCAAATCCATGTTCATGAATCAAAACATGAACATAAATCCTAATACACTTCATTCGCATTAATTTAGTCCAAGTATAATGATGATTTATTAATCGTGGGATTAAAATCAGCAAGCTATGAACATAAATACTTATTTACAATTACTTAAAACCGTCGAATAATTCATATAATTCATTCTGTTTAATTTAGTCAGTGAGCATAATTTTAAAAATTACAACAGATACAATATAAAATGGACAAAAAATTATATTATTATAAAAGGGATCTAAAAATAATGAAAACAACACGTAAGTTATAGAGCATGATCGAGGTAGCAGTATTTCCTATTCATATTTGCAAAAAAAATAATAAAGCTCAACCTTTTTATATAGATAATACGATAAACCATTAAATGGATTCAAAACTGAAAGGATAAACCAATAATGATTTAGACAAGCTAGTTCTTCGCTTTAATTTAATGCATGGGTATAGTAATGAAATTATTTAGTCTTTTTTCTGATTTTTGTGAATATTTATTATATTTCATTTCGAGTCTTATTTCTCTTCCTGTTTTTATATCCATCTTATTTATGCTTAAAAATGCATTTTAAAATTATTTTTACATATTGTATTAAATAGGTTTATAATCGGTGATTTTGGTAATAACGATGAGTTTTCTTCGTCTGAACTGCCTATATTATAATAATAGGGTTGTAGGTCGGAAATTCACGTGACTGCTATCTCGATTATTGGTTACGTTGGTGTTTTTTAAATCGTGTAACTAGATTTATCCCAGAGCAACTCTACTCTATTGCTATAGCGATGCTATCATGGTTTTTCGAACTTCATACAGGAGGGTACAGTGTTGGAAATCTAATGTTCTCAGCGTTCTGAGAACATTAAAATATCTTTTTGAGAACATAATATTTAAAATTATGTTCTCATTCTGAAAATATAAAATTTTAATATAGTTAATGGTAAAATTTTATTAATAAGAACATAAAAATTCAAAAATTTATGTTCTCAAAAAAAACAAAAATTTCAGATTTTTTTCACTGGGGTCCCAAAAAAATTCCGGGTCGGAAAACGTCAAAAATCCTGGTCGGTTGAATCGAAATTAACTAATTTTGGAGGTCGTCTAAAGTCAGGTGTGTTCACGAAATATACAAAAAACGGCTATCTAAACCTACTTCAGGACACTAATAAAAAAATGTCGGGAAGGCGATTTTACTTATAGTACTTGCCTAACCCTAACTTTAATTAACAAAAGTTAAGGTCACTCCAAATTGATTCTCTGTTTAACATAAGATAGCTCGTAAGAGTAGGGGAGCATAAAAAAACACAAATTAGTAAAAATACAGTAATTCTATTGGCTGTAAGAAAATGTAAAAAATATAAAAATGAACGAAAAGCTATACTGTGATTTGATTGGTTACTATGATAAGTATTTTTCGTCCAAAATTTTAAAAAATAGAGAGGGGAGTTATGTTAAGCAGAGAATCAAATTGGTCTGGCCTAAATTATATAAACACACCGGGTTTTAGACGTTCCCTAATTTTGCTAAAATCATTCAAATATTTACTAATGAAGTTATAACCCACCTACTAAGTACAAATACCCACATGATAATTTTGCTAAAAACATTACTAAATCGTAAATAGCATAATGCTGGCCAGCTGAACATGTCTCCGATGTATTCCGACCCGGAATTTTGAAGACAGTCGGTTTGTAGCATGTTACACGGAATACATAGGTAAAAGTCCTGTGACACTAACCCTAAATTATAACCTAACCCTAAAAAATGCCCCCTAAAAAGTTTTATAAATTTATAATGGGTTCAAATTTCCGATTCAGCATAATTTCTATTCATTTGTATTAAAAAAAATGGCAAACAACCTTATTGATTTTACTCTGGACATGGATTTAAAGAAGTTCGTTAAGGATCCAAAAAACTCTGTAACAGTTCTCAACTTTTGGGCTGAATGGGCTAAAGCATGCACTCAAATGAATGATGTCTTTGCAGAACTTGCAAAGAAATATACAACAATAAAGTTCATTAAGGTTGCTAAGTGTTCATTTTCTTCATTTTAGTACATACAAACTGTTAAATTATCTTTTTTTTCTTACAAACAGATTGAAGCCGAAAAATTTCCCGATATTTCTGGTTCCTTTGAAATCGTTGCAGTGCCAGTTTTTATAATTCTCAAGGTACGCACCGATTTATTCTCTCTTGATATATTGATACATTGTTGAATTCTAATCTTTATTGGGATTATTTAAAGAATGGAGGTATTTCTGATCGTGTTGATGGAGCTAATGCTCCCGAATTGACGAGTATAGTTGCCAAATATGGAAAGCCTACTGCTGTTTCCGCAACAAATTATGCTTCAGATAAGCCAGAGACTCTTCATAAAGGTGATTTAAATACATATTTGAATGAATTGATCAATTCTTCTCCAGTGATGGTGTTTATTAAGGTAAATATTTATTACATAATCATTAAACTTTCTATTTGATACAAATCCTAATTAATTGCTTCATTATATGAAGGGTACACCAAATCAGCCACGATGTGGGTTTTCAAGGCAAATTGTCGAAATTTTTAACGAACGTAACGTGAAATTCGGTTCATTCGACATTTTGACTGATGAAGAAGTCAGACAAGGTATATGATTATATTGCTAAAGAGTTAATGTTTTATTAATTCATTGATAACTAAGTGTTTTTTATAGGCTTGAAAGAATATTCTAAATGGCCCACCTATCCGCAGGTTGCTATTGCTTGTTTATTATTCATATTTTATTCTGAATTTTTTCCATTAAATGTCTTATTTCAATTTTTCAGGTATATATTAATGGAGAATTAATTGGTGGATTAGATGTTGTTAAAGAAATGATTGAGAATGGTGAATTTCAAAGCACAATTTCTAATATTGGTTGATAGTAAAAATTTATTTGCACAGTTAATGTGGCTTTGGTGCTTAATATCGACCGTAAATACAACTAATTATAAAAAAAAAAAAAAAAAACTTTAAACGAATTTTATGTCTTTAAGAGTTAGTGATAATAATTATAGTTCCTAAATAAATTAACATTGAGACTTTGATAAGGTTTTTTATGGTTTGTTAAGTGTTCAAATAGAGTTTGAAATTATTAGATATTCAATGGCATTAATGTTGTAGGCGAAACTAGTTTCGGACTTATAAAGCGAAACTGGAAAATAGTTTCGCCTACAACACTAATGGCATTATTTCATGAATATCGAATAAATTAAGATCTATGTAAAACAGTATGACGTGATCCCAAAAGCTTGCTAGAATAAATAGCAAATATATTATACTGTATCATAATAATTACAAATTTTATAAAAATACATATAGTTGTTCTGGATATAGCGAACCTTTTTATAACGAACCTACTCTTTAACGACATTTTTTAAAAAAATTTAGGGATGTTAATGGTCAATTCTGTTCTAAGAATCGATTTAGAAATAGAACTAAATTTAAGAAAAATTGGATTGAACTAGAATCAAGTTAAATTGGGATTGAATATAAGAATAATCGAATTAGACTATAAGAATAATTGATTAAATATAAATAATCGGATTGAACTAGGATCAAATATATAATGATAGATCAGTTCTTAATAGTAGAGATGGCCCTTTGAGTTGACGACACTCCATATATCGCTATGATACAAATGTTGATATAACGATAATCATTTATTTATTTAGGCATGGGCAGAAATCAGGTCATTTCAGTTTACTATAGAGTAGTGATTTGAACCGGTTGGGCTATAATCGGTTAACCGAC